CCAAAAGACAATGAGCTCTTTAAACCTACGGTGCTTGAACATATAGAAAAGAATTTGTAGAACAGATAGGCTGCTCTCCCTCTCTCTGATTTCTCTTAATACCTTATAAAAAATTAAATGTATTAGTTTGCGAAACAAGTTTTAACTGTAAATATCCTCAAAAGAAAATGCAAGATGCCTTAAACCACTCAGCATATTAATATTCCTTGGACTTTCTCCAAAACCAAACAGCCAGATGTTGCACAATTGCAAACCCTTCGTGTTTTTCAAACAAAGTTCATAAGATTTTGGCTGAAAATGGCATTCAGACGTTTTGCTTAAGAAGACCATCAAGGCGTTTTGGAAACCACGTTTCGTAGCTTAAATCCCAAGGAATCATTCTGAGAAAACTGGAAAGCCCATGTACTGATCCACACCCCACCCACCCTTCTCCAGGGGTCAAATGCCGCAACTTTCAGTGCAGAACTGTCCTCCGAACCCGCATGACGGAGAAATCACCACTTGTAATATTACAGGCTCCTGCGCTTTGTAAAGAAGGTTTTACATGAATGCATTAAACATACCCACTTCAAAACAAGGAAAAAGAATTAAGCTGGCTGCAGGGAGCTTTCTGCCAGAATACAATTTTCTCTTCCGCTTTACATAAAAAAAGATTCAGGAGGTCTTCCTATTTAATGGATTCTGGATCCAGGAACAAGCTTTAGCTGCAGTGAGAAACGTTAGCTGTTTTACAAGACATACAGGGGTGCCTGCTAGAGCTGGCCATCCTAATTAATTCATAAATTTCTTCTGACATGCCATGAAATTCTTCTACTCTGAAATGACCAAAATCATTTTCTAAAAACGGCAGATCTTCTAACCAACTGGAAAGCTGGGGCTTAAAGAAATGAAAGAACACACATCTGAATTTTGAACACATCTTCATTTACTGCTCGTCAGTCATTGAGGTAAATGGCTGTCAAATACCTACAATGATTAAAATCCACACTTGAATTAACAATCTCATTTATGGAATTACTTATTGCACATTACATTCAATAATACAGTAGCGTGTCAAGGATAAAAGTTTTATCCAAAACATTACAAAATGACATCTTAGAGAGCATGCTTTTTGATCTGCTTTCATAAGGTTATTAAAACTTATTTTGCACTAGTTTTACAAATGTCCGGGTACAACATATTACTTTAAATCAGTCAATCAGAGGTTGCTTTGAAATTTGAAGAACCACAGAAATAATCAAAGTGTTTGAAGAACATTTGCCACTTACTTTGGAAAGAAGCAAATTCTTACAAATTGCCATTACACTGCTACAGCCCCTACAGTATATAAACTGCTGGAAGCAGACATGATATAGCATAGCTTAAAATTCACCATTGCAAACCCTTCGTGTTTTTCCAAAAGGTCATTAAATTTTGGCCGGTAATGGCATTCAGACGTCTTTTCAAATCCAATCAACTGTGTGATTTGATTGGCAAGCCTAGATAACTTTTTCTGGTCATTTCCCTATGCAATATCATATCTTTCCCCGCCTGACCACTTATGAGCGATTTTGTCAGCCTCACAAGTCCACACAGGAATGGCTGCCTTTTAGCATTGGAAACATCAGTGAGAGCCAATCACAGACAGGATACTTGAGTCGGAGTGTCGAGCCAACCATCACGTGAAGGAGTAGCCAGTTCTTCCACAGAACAAATAAGATGGGTAGTTTTCAAAGCTACTGGCGCCAGAGGGAAAACAAAAACTGCTCCCCGTTTTCTGAAAACAACTGCAAAACTTTAAGTGTGAAAAACTCAGCTAAAAAGCAGAAGAAATATGAAACTCATTAGAAATCAGTAGGAGCTGGAAGATCTGAACCAGTTTCACAAGAGAGCAAAGCTGTTAGAGATCCATACCATCATGGTGAAGAATCAATCTCAATTACCAGACAGCACAGATTTCTCTCCGAATTATGGGAAAGATGGCAGAGAAAACTGGGGCCACAGATACAAGAACCATCAAAGCTCGGAGTGATATTAAGCCTTCACACAGGCAGTACGTTTGACTCAGTTGCTAATGAGAACATTTATCGGCATGAGGTCTCACTCATAAAGCAAGGAGCAATCTATAATTTCTCAAGCATCTCACCGAGAGAAATACTCCTGTTTGTCTTTTAATGGCATAGGGAAAAAAACCCAACTGTGCTCAGACCCATTCCAATTAAACTCTGATCAAATGTAATGAATAATTGATACTGTGTAACATTCCTAATTGATTTGAACTTGAAATAAATTATTTAATAAAGATTTATGGCCACCTATTTTTAAACACAGGCCCTCATATTAAACAAGAAATGAGGAGCTCTCCAGACGTCAGTGCACTAGAAGCCTCTGAACTTTATACCCGTCCTTTGCAAAAGCCTCTTCAAATCTGAATACATTTACTCATCATCTATTCCTTCTTCACCAAGTTCGAGTCATAAACAGGTGTAAAGTTATTGCCTGAGCAGCTCTTACCAACAGACATAAGGAAAACGTACAGCACAAATCAGCTCTTTTATCACTAGCTAGCAGTTCATCTGAGCATTCAGGTATCCTGCAGAAGACCGTTTACATTAAAAAAAAAAACATACAACGTGTATTGCATGGCAATATCACTCAGAAGCGGCCCTCATTACTCCCAAAACAATTCATCAACTCATTCTCATGCCTCTGGATACACTCTACAAACATACATTAGACAGCAAGACACAGCAAAACTGAACCACTAATGTGAAACAATGAGCTTGCAGTCAGTAGGAGCTCTCAAGATGATGAGACTATATCTGAAGAGAGACGTTACAATTCTGTCAGATGTCAAAATACGTGATTTACTGTCGCTACACTCAGAAGAAGTACACTTGTGCGATGGGGAGCTGTCAGAGACTGACCTTTAATATCGCCATCGAACATATTGGGGTCATGAATGATTCCTACGACAAAGTTGCAAAAAATCGCTCCCACACACACAAACTGTCCTAAAGCTTTGGGGCTGTGAATGCATTCAGCTAAAGATTCAAACGTTTATTTGACATTTTGAGAAATAAAACCAAATAAACTGCATCACAGGGCAAAACCACACGGAGATGTAAAAATATTAGCATGCTGAATATCAGTGATCATTTCTACAGCTACCATTTATTTTCTAGGGTTAACTCTAGGATGTACAAAGCATTCTTTGAAATCTACAAACCTTTAGATCTCAAACACATTAAAAAGGTATCTAGTATGCACTGAAAAATAGCTAAACCATTCCATGCAGACCATGAAAACTGCTAATTGCACTAAGGCACTAAGTTTCTAAACACTATATAGAAACTAAATGAAAACAGCAAATTGCATTTATTATCATCCATTTAATACAAATGCATACTATATGTTGGGAAGATCGCAAGGAAAATAGGTTTTTCCGTCTTAAAATCACCTCGATATGATTAAAAAAACTGTCCAGTACGTTCAAGACGCCTATAGTTTTCTATAGCTCAGGTCTCAATCTAAGAGATCGGGCTAACCAATTTTAAATAAAAGTCTGGTCGAACTCTGCAAACACTTTAGAAGTGTAACATCAAAAGATTCTTCACAGCTCATGATTTTATAGACGCCTGAGAGACAGAAGTAATCTACATCGTGGGATGAAACGTGTAATGACTTTTATCCTGACATTATCGCGTTAAACTCTATTTCAGTACGGGCATTCAAAATTTCACAACACGTTTCTGCTATTCAAGCGATTTTATTACAGATAGAGGAGCACCAGTGAATTGAAATTCCTAACGTTGTCTCAAAACAAAAATAAAAAACTGCAAACAAATATTTTGACAGCAAATTAGTCACAAAGCGATACTGGAATAACCCGGTCACTTCACACATCCTTAATGGCTATAACCAGCAGTATGACCGAAATCTCTCATGCGCCTGCTTCGATCATATCTCCTAAATGAACCAAGTAATATGGCATTTTCTAGTTACTTAGGTTAAACAGAAGCCTGGCTCTATTAGCTACAAACAAGCCATTGCAAATGAACGGCTAAAAATTGAGCGTTAATACCCTGGCAAGATACAAATCAGCTATAATCACAAAAATAACATTCAGTTTTATAACAATATAAATGGTCTTACAATTTACAAGATTTATTCCACACTCGAATAAAAAGAACACAACATCTATTGAGTTTTCAGCAAAATGCAACAACAACAACAACAACAACAACAAAAAAACAGGGGTAAGGCAGCCCTAGAAATGTAGTGTATATGTACTTACACCCAACCCCGCAGTTACACACTCATTCACAATTTCAGCTTTCAATATACGGTCCAGTACCTAAAGCATAAAGTTGCACCTGAGCGATCGCTGATGCTGTCATAAAAATCATCCCCTTTATTCACTGCGACTTTAAAAAAAAAATTAAAGTACCAACAAAACTGAGTGGTTCTTCAATGCCAGAGCCCGTGGAGCTTGTAACATTTATCGGGTCAGTAGCTCAAAGCATCTCGGTGTGTATCTGCCAACGCTACAAGCCCAGGGAGAGGGTGTGAATGCCCACTACTTGCGGACCAGTCTACTCCTGTCGTGCCGTGACATGCAGTTCACAAAGGTCTTTAAAAAAAGAGAGCGACGGACAGTTTTTAAAACCGACATCCCAACGACTGCGTTACTAAAAAAAAAGGCCCCGATACAAAAAAAAAATGTGCGATGCATGCTTGATCGCTTACACTCAATCTGTTACGCAGCTACTGTAGAGAGAACAAACACGGGGATGACAGGGGGATTATGGATGTCACAGAAAGCGGGGTGTTCAGCTACACAAATCGGTTGCCGTCTTCCCCCAACTGCACATGCACATTTTTTTTCCCCCCAGCAAAACCAGCCCGAATGGCACTGGTCTTGATCTTCACCCAGCCTTAGACCCCGGAGACCCAAGCATGAGACAAATAATAATAAAAAAATCAAATCAAATCAGATCTCTCCGGGCTGTTGTGTGTACCTCGGAACGCAGCTCGGGGAAGAGCGGTCTATCTCCCAGGTTGCAAAGAGGTTCATGGGAACGGGCATCGGGCCGGAGCTCCCCGAGCCCGAGCCCCCGGCTGCCGCTGCCGCTGCCGCAGCCGCCCCGGGTCCGGCCGGGGTGGCCGCCACCGCTGGCCCGCCGCCGCCGCCACTGCCTGGGTTCAGGAAGGCGGCCCGAACCCCTCCTCTCTCCACAGCCGCCGCCATCATCGCCTCTCCCGGGTAGCAGCTGAAGCCGTCTGTCTGGCGCTGGTGCTCGCTCGCTCGCCGCTCCCAGCGACTCTGCCCGCTCCTTCAATGAAACAACACATCCAGGACCGGAGAGCTCAGGCTTTCAAGAGGCACTCATGGGCGGGGCCACGGAGCGACCAGAGACGGGAGGGAAGGCAGTTTTGCTGAAGTACGCCAGGGGGAGCGATTGAACAGCAACAAGAAACAAAACGCGGTTGCAAATGAGGAGACTTCCGATCCGTCTATAGCCCGCTCGGTAGTCAGCGACTTGACCTCATCCAGCTGTTTCTTTAAAGAAGCCAAGGGCATCGGCTTCAGCAGCACGTCTGGTTAGCTTGTTCTGTAATCCAACAACCATTTGCATCATTAAAAAATGGAATGCCTTTTCTCCAAATTTTCCCAGTTAATTAAAGCTTCCCAACAAGAGGGGGCCACTTTCTCCTATCTCCACTTCTTGAAAGATGCGACTTCTTCGTCTTCGAGAACACAGCTGGGAAGTGTGTTGCAGAAAATCTCAACCTCCTGTGTAAAAAAGGACCTCCTGATTTCAGTTTTCAATGCACTCCCACGTTATGTAGTTTCCACTTGTGCTCTCTGGTTATTTTTCACTGTTTATTCTGAAAAATACGATTGGTTGACTTTATCACTGCCTTGAAGATGTTGGATACCCGTATCAGGTCCCCTCGTAATCTTCTCTGTTAAAGGTTAAAACGTTCCCCTCCAGCTACTGTATAGTGACCATACTCATTCACATCAAAAACACCGGATTTAGCAAGCAGCCCATTAATAGTAAATTTACTTAACTCCTGAAAAGTGCTCTTTAGTCTGTTTAAAATTACCTAATTACAAAAAAAAACCACTCCTAATTACGTTATTATCTAGGTTTTGTGTAAGGCATTTCACGGGCTTCAGTGTGGTTGGTGATCTGTACCTACAGTAGGTGACTTCCCGTCTTACTGAAAATTATTGAAATAGTCTGTGTTGGGGAAAGTTATGAGCATTTCCTGTTCAAATAAGGTGCTAGACATTTCTGCTGAGCACTCTGCAAGCTTTTTGTTGGGAAAAGTTTGATTAATTGAACAGGAAACCGCATAAACGCTGTTAGCAAATAGGATGATGACACACTGAGTAGTAAGGTAAACCCAATGGATTTTTGTACATTGCTGAGAGAACGACTGACTCAGCAGGACCAGGCCTGTCAAACACTTAGTCAAACTCACATATCACTCGTCACTATAACAGATCAAAGGAGCTTAAACATTTACAGTCTCTCAAACAAAGAATGGAGAGTGTACCTCATATCACATGTTGCAGTTTTATATATGGCTGTAATTTTAATCTCAAAATAACTGGAAAAAAAACACCACCACCAATGTTCTAAATGTTCAGATCTGAAGAGTAAGCAAAAACCTAATAAGGGAAAATAAAGCTCAAAGTTGACTATTTCACTTCTGAGTCAAAGGGGACATTTTTAACTGATTTCATATCACAAGCCCTTTTGACTGATGTTTGGAAATGAAAAGCCATTAATTCTTTTAATCAGTTTTATTAATGCATTATTTTAAGATTGAGCTCATTCAATTTCATTCAAACCTTTAAACCAGTAGAGCACTGCAGCACAGATTTCTGTACTAAACTGCAGGTGTCAGTTCCTATATTTATATACCAGGAGACGCATGACTACAGTGTACAAGGTAGTTAGGTGAGTACACAAGATCCACCTTTCTTCACTGGATCCAGATATTCTCCTTAAAATTGTGTGTGACGGACCTTCTGAGGCATAAGGATTCTTTTAATCCTGTTTTTTGTTTCTACAGTATATGCTCATGTAGCTCGTTCCCTCTCTGCTCTGTTTTAATGGAATTTATTATGGGTAATAAAGTTCCCATTTGGCAGTTGGTTTTCCACAGAACGGTCTTTTGAGGAACTCTGTATAATCAGCAAAATGACAGGTCCTCACTTGCCTCCACTCTCGTCATGCAAGAAAAAATGCAAACATCTTTCTTTGTCAGATACACTCCTCTTTTCATGACGTTTTCTGGTTAATAAACGAACAACTTTCCTATAAATCAGACCACGACATTTAATGTAACAGCTAGTGATTGTACATGTCTATTTCTCATGGCCTGCCAATGGATTTTCTTTGTCTCTGAAACTGTTCATCTTAAGCCCATATGCCTCGTATCTTAGTTGACTGGGTATCTCAGGCAATCTTACAATCTGTATTACATATGCTCTCCCATTAATCCCCTTGTGAAATATCCTGCAAGTACAAGTCCGATGCAGGAAAGTAAATCACAGGCAGGTACATGACAGGTGAAGTAGAGTAACTGTTTCATGATTGCTCGCTTGTCTTTTCTGGTGGAACACGTCCTTACATTTTTCAGTTGCACCCTGTCCCCACAGCACATCCCATCTGTCCCACAGAGCCATGTCAGTGTAGTCAGGAGAGTCTCAGGTCATACAATAGCTGCTATACAAGACATCACACACCTGTTTGCACTAGTGTTCAAGGGAGGAGGGAGCTTGCTTTTAGCTTTTTTTCATAGAAAAATAGTGTAGAATAGTGTAGGAGAATAGTGTACTTACGTTTTTTTACTCACTGTATATGGAGCCTTTTCTTTCCCATTACCCTTTGCTCTCCTGTAACCACGACTGATAAGAAACACAGCAGAGGAAAGGAATCAAAGTAAGATAATGTTTACTGGCAATAACACCTTATTGACCCTAGGTCACCAATGGGGAATCATGGGCTTTCTTTTAAACTAAGCCTTATCGTCTCTATGGCTACTTCCAAAGGTGAAAAGAAAGGAGAGCTGTTATCGGATGAAAAGAAAAGGGCTCAGGTCAGTGCAGAAAGCTGTTCTGAGTTTCCTCTCGCTGTCCAGTAAGTAGTAAAATAAGTGATGAGTGACTGAAATGTAACAAACAGGACAGAAGACTGAAATGAGTTTTCTGACAGACTATATCATTTTTATTTCTTTTCATAAATTGCTTTTACTGCTTTCAAATCTCACCTTGCTAAGATTGCTGGGGTTCAGTTTAGATATATCTAGGGCAAATAAATTTCCGAAGCTCCGTTCACATTTTCAACAGCCCGTTTTTCATTTTTATGTCTTACTTGCCGAGTAAAAGTGGTTTTCTTTCGGATATATTCTAATAAAGTTCAAGTCACACAAGGTGTATAAATTAATGGTTAAAAAAATCAAAATTGATGCAATTACATTTTTGCAGTTAAACTAAATGTTAACTTGTGATGTAAAATTTACACTCATATTTCTAGCTAGCTGTGTATCAATTTCATTTACATTCAAGCATTTAAAAAAGCATTACAAGGATTCGGTACGTTTTCATTAATAGCAACCGATGAAATAGGCACCCTGCTGTCCATTAATAATAATATCCTGAGCCTATAATAATATTGAGTAAAAAAGGATAAGAATGTTCCTTTAGTGCTTTTCATGACGAAAGATCCCAGAGGATATTACACTCTACATAAAACAATATGCTGATGTACAATACTGTATTGCACGTTTTGCTAGATGCATTATATGCACTTTTATTGTATTCAAACAAGGCTTATCTGGATCTAATGAAGCAGTGAAATCCAACCTACTGCCCAATTTGAACTTTCTGTCAAACTGTGCTGCATTCCTAATGTGATCCCAGGTTTCGGTGCTGTCAGCCAGTCCTTTATGGGTCTTTACTGATGCCAACATGATTAAATGCTATTCTGGTGAGTTTTCCATTACTTACAGTAACTGCCCTTTGAGAGTGCATTTTTGACAATGGGATATTCGAAATATTTAAAGGCTCGACAATAGAAGCTACTATGGATTTTTAAATAACTGGTTAGTAGGGACGGCATTCTAGCTCTTGTGTGCCACATCATACACAGCTCGGTGGTGAGGGAGGAGGGGGCTGTAAAAAAGATATAAGACTTCCTGTAAAAACTGTCTACGAAGCTGGCGGTTTAAGACCAGTCATCTGTATCTCAGTATTTACTGCTGCTAAAGCCACTGTAGCCAGCATCAAATAAAGTATAAATAATTACTCATGAAATGTTAATAGTGTTATATTTCGGATAAAGCCTGACTACACTACCAATAGTCTGTAACAGGTACACAAACTGTTATGTTACGGTGATTTGTAAGAATGATCTGATTAGGTCTGATCCCGTCCAATGATTATATTGCCTGGCACCCTGTTTTTTTAGATTCGACTCCTGGGGGATGTTTAGCTCCCGTCTCACGTAAGGTAGATTGGTTAGCGGTTAGTGTGAGAGAATGAAAGGGCGACATCTGTCGGCGGCTCAGTGTATATGCGAGAGAGAGTGTGTGTGGTGGGTGTTTGCGGTTTCGTGTAGACTTGAGTGCACTCAGTGTAGATTGAGCTTCAGAATGTGATAGACTTGACAGCTCAGGGAAATCTCAGAGATGCTGCTGTGATTTTATCCTCACGCAGGCAAAGGGTTTTAAAAGTGGTAGTGTGATGTACGGTAATTATCGCCCGTGTTCTTCAGACTGGAGACTGCCGCTCTGCCCAACATTGCCTTTAATAACGCAACGCAGGTGTGTCAGACAGTGGTCTCGACTTTGCTGGGGGAAGGATCCTGTTTCACGGAAACCTCTAGCAATAGTTTACCATATTAACCAAATTCGGCACATAAATAAAAATACAAGATCCCTCAGTTTAATTAACTTTTACAAAGACCCAGGGGACCCTAAATTCTCAATAGCTTTCCCCTTGTGGTACAACATGGCGCTGAAACGGTGATGAACAGAACCGATGGTGATAAAATGATGGGCGGGTCCTTCAAGAGAACCGGGACTGATTCCAATAGTTTACAGCTCTGTTCAAGATGCTGAGGCTACAGAACTCTACACGGACTAACTTTCCTTCTTTAAAATATGCGAAAAGCAGTGCTGTGTTTCAGGCTGTGAGAGAAAGGGTTTATTTTAATGTCCAAAACGAACCATGTACTGTAATATGTAATTTAAGAAAAGAAGACATTTAAGACACTTCAAATGGAGCCATAGAATTTCACTCTCCATATCTGTTGGACTGCAGCAACTGCAACAAATTCAATTATGTTTCCTCCAAAGAAGCTGAGCTAGACAATATAGTTCAGATATACACCTATTCCAGGAATATTTTTTTAAAGTTTTGAATCGTTGACACATTATTAGAAAAACCACACTAAATCTGCGTGAGGAATAGCCACTGTAGAGCAGGAGAGAGGAGGCTGTAATGACAATAGGACCAGCACTAGGTGGCGCGCACAGTCGCCGCTAGCAGAAACGCTCGAAAATTGCAGTGGTGCGATTGCTGATGGTT